TGTGGTATAGAGAAAAGCACAGGATTAAGCTATGCAGTAGGCAGCGCAACTATTTAAGATTAGGTTAGCGATTTTATGGTATATATTTATTAATTGGGTTGTAAGGGAAGTAGAAGGCTATGTAATTGTTAAAGATACAATATGATGAATTAGATTGGACTTCTAAAATAGATAACTTAAATTGTATATATAGTTTATTAGATGGAGATATTAGAAAAAACTAAAATATGTAGTATAGAAAAATTTTCATTATGGAAATATAGGTACCGGTAATTAATAAAGAATAATTAATTAATTAGGTTAAGGTTAGTTTAGCTTATAATATTTTGAATTTAAGAAATACTAAATTCAGTTGTTATATCAAGTTAAGAAAAAAGGGTTTAAGCTTATTCAGGGTATACATGGGTGCAGAAATTATTTTTGAAAAATCGTATTTTCGGCAAACATTTCGGCATTACTAAATTTTTTATATGAAGCACTTCGAAATAACTATATTATATAATGTATTTTGATGAAAAAAGTTTAAAAAATTTCGGCAATAATTTTGACAAATATAAAAAATAATTTCAGCACTACATAAGACTAATTTTAGCTGCTTAAATACAGTAATTACTTTTTTATTAAGATGGCAATTTTGGCACCTACGTATAATTCAAGATAAAGCGAATTGGTAAGAAGAATATCTATTGCTTTGTTAATTTTTTATTGAATGTTAAAATACTATATATAATATTTTATTTTGCCTTTTGGTCAATATGGTTACAAAATGAAGAAATATTGTAGAAAAATCACTTGGGTATTACATTATGTACGAAAAGACTTCACGATATACAACATTATCCATATGACAATAATTTAAAGTTATATTTGAATTATTAGATATGAGAATTTTAACAGCACAGTAGGAAGTAACTCTCGATAAAGCGACATATAATTGATTATGTAAAAAAACTAGTTTTGGTAGATAGATGCCAACTTGATTCAATGTTTGATCTTGTGTTTTGTTGATGGTCATAGAAAAAGCAAGGTGTATCGAAAATTAGCATCTTGTTAAAATAAAAGGTAATTTGGTATCAAAAGGTGATAACAAAATTCGAGGTATAAATACATGATTACCAATATGAGATCCTGTGATAATTTTAGCAATGATTATTTTGTTATAAAGAGCTTGACAAATTAATCAGGTTCCTTACAAAGTCCTTTTGCTAGATTTAAGTTTCGCAGAAGCATTATAGGTATACCAACTTTTAACTTTAATTAACCAAGAGGAAGGCTAAAGATTTTTAAAGATCTTAAAAATTCTGATAGGTATAGATAAGAGTAGTTTATATTTCTATCATCTGCTGAATCTGTGAAGTCTGCGCTAGAATATATAGAAACTGGACTAGAGAACTGATCTATCATTAGATCAAAAATTATATCAACATCGTTGTTTTTTGGAGTTAGTATAGCTTGTTCAGTTAAGTAATTAATATTATTAGAGTTTTGGATGAAATTCAAATAAACATAATTAATAAGATCTGATAACATTCTACCACTTACAACTATATCAGAAGAGAGTATTATTCTATTTTCTGTGTTTGTGATGATTGGGTACGTTCCATCTCCTATTTGTAAAAGAAACTCAGCAAATTTTCTTTGCCTCCGATTCTTATTAATATCATTAGTTTGCTGGAGTCTCATGTTAATTGTTAATTTCATGATTTTTATATGATTCCATAATAAAAAGCAGGGTAAGCTAGCCAAAATGATATCTGCGCAGGAGCCACAGAGTACAACAGATAGTACTTGATAAAAATCACCACCATAAACAATGACCTTTCCTCTAAATAGATTATTTACTTGTATAATATCACAAAATATATGATCAAGGGCTTCAAATGCAAACTTATTAGTTATTGGGGTCTCATCCCAGATAATAAGTTTTGTGATGCTGATTAAATGGGCTTCTTTGCTGTTCTGTAAAATATTACACGTAGAAGATTCATTAGGTTTAAGTAGAATTTTGAAACGACTATGAGCTATATGTCTACCTTTTATTAAAAGTGCTGCGATTCCTGAAGAGGCTACTGCCAAAGCAATGTGGTGATATGACCTAATACTTGCTAGTAAAGTGTTATATAAAAAGTTTTTCCTGTACTACCTGGTCTATTTACAAAAAAATATTCTTCTTCATTGTTAATTGCTCTTGTAATAGCATTAAATACTGCACATTGATCATCATTTAATAAAGGTATATGGCATTGCAATTTTGCTTGTAAGTCTGTTATATTGTAGAATCTCTCTTTATGTATTAAGTGATTTAATGCTTCTTCATTATTACTGATATTTGAAGTGATAAGGGAAATTGGCATATTGGAAAAATCTTTTAGAGATTTTTCACTTAGTAAAAGTATATTTTCTAATTAAGCAAGAGCTTCATATTCAATTATAGCAGGGATATTACTTGCATCATCGAGATCTTGTAATTGCATATAAGCTTGATATAAAATATCCTCACACAATGCTACTTTATGATTATTCTATAACAACTCAGGTTTTAGCAGTTGGCAAAATAGAAGTATGGTTGCAAAAAGCTGTTGAAGTTGGTGTCCTGTCTGTACAGAACTTGCTTTAAGCAAACAGGTATCCTATTCATTATTGTCCTGAAGAAAACCAAGATAAGAACAAGCTTCTTTGAAGCTACCTCACATATAGCTGCTGATAGTTTTTAGATCATCGAAGCTGATCGCACCTTTTACATGGATAAGTAAAGTTCGTAGATAATATCTCTCACCTTCGGAAGGCTGTACCATATAAAGTCACCCAATTATAGTCATTGATGTTCTTCTAGACGTTCATTTATAGTGTGAAGAATTTCAAATATAATAAGAAGAAAAGTCGACGTAAGTATATATACATGCTATCAGGTTCTCTATATTCTTCTGAAACCAAGTAGTCAAGGTTATCATATGATTTTAATTAAAGTTGGTGATATTTTGAAAATTGTCTTTATCTTAAAATATTATATATTGACATCTATCAAGATGAACAGCAAGCCTCTGTACCTTTGGACTACGATTATATAATTTATAATGAAAAATTCTCCAGATACTTTTTGAAGCTAAAACATATCATGCATCCAGGTACTTTTAATTTTATCAATTTGAGCAACTTCAGGTAAAAGTTGTTAATTATCAGTTTGGTTAGAATAGACAAACATAATGGTTGCTCAATCATGCTCTTTATATACGTATTTATATAGATATTTAACAGCCATTATAGAACTGCAAATTTTAATGTTAATATAAGTATTGTATTTTGTATATAATTTGACATTATGCAGTACAACTCATGTATTGTCTAATTGGATTCTATCTTTAACAAAACGTGCATTGTTTTGTCTGTAGTAAATAGGATATCCACTATCACTTTCCAAGGCACGTTCTTGAAAAGTTTTAGAATAATGTTTTATACAGACACCATCTTTATACATAGTGCATCAGGCTTTAGTAAACCATATGAACCATGTATCATCATGGTTGTTACTGTCTCATAGGCAAGTGGATGTGTGTGAATATCAGGAATTTTAGCAGAGATGATGGAATCATAATCTTCTGTAGTTCGTAATTTGTCATCTGAAGCAAGGATTAATAAAATATGCACATAAGGAAGACCACATTTTTGGAACTCTATTACATATACATATGCAATAACTTTACTAACTCAATGGTTATAATACAAATCTTTTAACAGTGTTTGTAATTTTACATGAAACATACAGGCTGTTAAATCAGGCCTATTAGCAGTATTCTGAAGAGATAATAATTTTCTGGTAACTTCTGGCCATTTAGAATTACATGTAAATGTGACAAAAAGATCTGGTTTTTCAAAGTGAATGATAATCACCATTGCATCCTAATCAGTGTTTAAAATTCAAAAAAAAATTTATATGCACAAATGTATTTTGTGCATCTTTTTTTTAAAAATTTTACATGCACACTTAATAGATTTTAAAAAAATTCAAAAAAATCCAAAAAAATTTCGTGCATATGTGCATCTTGTGCATGCCAATTTTAAACTCTAATCCTGATATAACTGATACATTTGACATGGTCTACCTGTAAAAAATGATAAAAGAATTATATGATGACCAACAGCATTACTACAATTTCTAGCATGTACTGCGTCTATAATACCTTGATAAAATTCAGCGTGAAGTGCTTTTTGATTATGCTTAAGATAAATTAAATGATTCTGTTCTATTTTAGCATACTGATCAACAATATACTGTTGATATAAGCGGCCAGCATATTGTATCCAATCACTATCTCTAATCTGCAATCGATAGAAGTAAAATTGCATAGTTGTTACTTGTTCTTTTTTTAAAGCATCCATGAGCAGTATATCTGTGTACTATCCATCATCACCTTTAGAGAATAATAATATATAGTAGAGAGGGTCATATGAAGGATGAAACTCTGATATTCTCTGCAAATTTCTATCACATGTTCTAAGAATAATATCACGACTTGTCAGATTTACCTTATGACCATCATCTACCATTATTGCAGCTATATCAAGAGCTGTTGGAGCGTTATAATGACGAATATCTTGATTTCTATTGCTACGAATTATTATCAAAATTTCAGTGGTTACATTGTCTCATATAAGATCTCTCACGTGACAGAAATTTTGGATATATGGATTGCAGGTATTTAGTTATTCTGTAAATTCTGTAAAATATTTTCATTTAATTCATACATTATGTTACGACGGTTTGTAATTTCATTTGCAGTATCATAAATATATAGTTGAGCAAATATTGGTGTGAGACCTTCATTTGGTAATAATGATCTGATTAGATGATAGACTTGACCATAAATCCGAAAATTCGATATACCACGTCCCAAAAATTGGTTATCTATGTTAGCACCAAAAGATGTGCAAGCCAAAGCACTGTTATAGCTTCTAATATATTTTCAAAAGTTGACTGCATCAGAATTAGTTGAAGTATAAAAATTTAGTAGGTAGAGTGGAGGTTCAAGTAAAGCCGGTAATTGTACTTTGCCACTAGTGCAACAAAAAGGAAATTTCAGAGTAGCGTATTCACTATTTTGATTTTTTTTAATCATCTAAAATTTAGCTTTACAATGTCGACAAGTCTGATCCATTCTACCCATATCATGATGTTTAGTTTTATTGTAACAAGAATTCAGATTACTTTGGGTATTAGTTAATTCAAGATCAGTAATTATAGGGACTTCGGTGGTAAATAAAGGTGAGAGGTCATCAGAATCAGATTTAATATCTATAGCAGGAGTTTCAACAACAACCATAGAGACTTCGGTGTTAAGTAAGTATTGAAGTTCTTCAGAAATATTAGTGGATAGGTGTGAGGTAGTTTCTTTTTTTCTTATTATTATCTTTAAAACATTTCTGGTATTTATGGTTGAGTTGTTTTCATCATTCTTTTGATAGTGCAGAATCAGAATTACTATTAATAGCAGGAGTTTCAACCACAACTGTAGGGACTTTGGTGCTAAGTAAGGGTTGAAGGTTTTCAAAAATATTAACAGATAGATGTGAGGCAGTTTTCTTATTCTTGTCTTTAAAATATTTCTGACAATAACAGTTGAGTTGCTTTCGATATTATTCTGATAGTGCAGAGCTACTAAAAAGTGTTGTCATATCTAAAGATAAAAGATTAGATATGAAAGGGTAGGAATATTGAAAGCTTTAATAGAAGTTAATATACTAATAGAAATTGAAAATTTGATATGATATGTATAATTACTAAATGATAAATAAATTAGTGGTTATTTCATAGTAAAATTTTAAGCAAAGTCAAAAGTATTAGTTTAAATAGATATTGTTCGTATGATCATTATTGGGTCACGAAGCAATAAGAATAATATGATTATATTTAAATTATAAAAATGAAAAAATATTGAATTCGTGTATTAGCAGTAGGCTTTGATTATAATACGACTTATATAGAGTAGAGCTTAGAAATAAAGATAATCTAGCATTACATAGGGCAGTGAATAGAATCAAAGATAAGATTATATTGATACAATAATAATAACTAAAACAATATAAGATGTGTAAAAAAAAGTAATTATATTATGCTGAGCATGCTTTTCCAGTAGGCTTGAATATAATTAATTATTTAATTTAGTTGAAATTGTGGATATGCAAAAGAAAAATTAGATAATTTTCTAATACAGATGGGTAAAGAAAAGATTATTACAAAAATGGATAGGCTATTGTAATACATTAATAATAATTTCTAGGTAGGTATCTTGATTGTAAAGTTTATATCATTTGGCAAATATGTAATATATCAAAAAAAACAATATTGATATATAGAATTCAATATTTTATTAAAACTTTAAATAAAAATATAATTAAAAATAACAATAAATTGTGAAATCATATTATTATTAAAAATTAACATAAAGTAACGCAAGTCTATTTAAGAACTTAAAGATAGTAAAGAAAAAATAAAAATAAGAAAGTTTACATTAAAGAACCAAAATTAAATAAAAAATGTATAATACTCATATTTAATAAAAAGAATCATAGAATTCAAAAAAGCAATATACACAGTAGTTTTTGATATAACAGACCATCGATATAATTGACATTGCTTAATACAGAAAATTATAATGAATTCAAATTATGATTCACTATAATATCTTATATATCATGAGATTCTGATATAATGAAGTGTTTGATGTAATAGAGTAAAGAACTAGAATAATGGGCTCTGTTATATTGAGAATTACTATGTAATACTATCGAAAGGTACTAACAACTCAAAAGAAAAGAGTATAGAAATAGTTAGTAAAAATAGTAAAATAAAAAATAAAAAATTCTGAAAATAAGATATATATATCAATGTAGTATTTGATAAAATTGGTGTGAAAAGATAAATTATACATAGATCGAAAAAACCTTTTCCATATATAAGAGATCGAGATGGTCTGGAACAGATATGCCAGATCTAATATATGTTAAAACTGTTAAATATAATAGATATAGTTGAAAAGTGCAAAGCAAATTAGTATAAAGAAATATGTATATAAAGATGACAAAATCTACTTTAATAAAGATAGCTCACTTGTGAGTTCAGAATTTAGTTGAGTTTTTGAATTCGAGTAAGAATTCTTGTCTGGTAATATTTGTAAAAATCGATATTCTTTCATAAAATTAAAAGAAAAAAGTTTCTATTAGTAATCCAAAACTTCTTTTGTAGAGCAATACACTGATTAAATTATTAATAAATATCATTGTTCGTTTTAAACAATATACTGTGATTCTTGTTCTCGAGGATAAAGGACTTCCAATGGAGGAAGTCTGTCTTAAAATCCTAAGCCGGGTGTCTGAAAATAAGGGGTCCAATTGGATTCTCGCTCGGTTAGAAGGTAACTCA